GTTCTCATCCCTGTCTCCTGCATGCCTTTTTCCTCATGTTTTCTCACTCCACCCCAGATAGTGTCGTCTGCATAGGGTCCAGAAAGAACTGTCCCTGACAGTCAGCAGATTGGCGGAGTGCGATCAGAATGACTTTGTGACTTAGACCTCGACACCGCTTCGGTACCGGCAGCTGGACAAAAAAGCCGGAAGAAAGTATTGTTCAGCGATACATTCATGCAATCCTCCGGCGTCCAGATGATGTTGGGCCTGCAAGCATTTATTTTTATACTGCAGTTTAGAATTCCCCCCAAAAAATGATAATATCGAGAATGTTCAGGTTTACATCCTCTGAACAAGGGTTAACGGTGTTTTTCTCCCCTAACCGAATATTATTATAAAGAACGTCTTTGCAATGTTGAAAAAGTAAGGCAAGATCGAAATCGCTAAACAAGAAGTTAACAGGAACTGGCAGCTTTCACATCCCGTTCCTATTCTGTTACTATTTTTCTCGCCCAGAGCGATGCATTCACAGTGCAGTGATCATGCGCATTAGTGTTTCAGAGCTCTTTGCACAAACCATTGATGGCTTTTTCTCAATGCAAATTCATCCGGAGAGACAAAAGTAAATAACAACACTCATTAAAATTTAATAAGGCATACCACCCAGCTACTTAACAGAATGCGTAACTACATGTAATTGAAAAGGGGGGCACATATTCAACAAATGACCTTTAATAAAATGAGAGGATCTCTTTTGCTTGTTTGCCTGATGGCATTAGGGAGGTTTAATTGATACTGGATTGTCGCCTGTGGATGAGTTAAAAAAAAAGAGGACGGTTGGTGTGAGTAGGGCGACCTCTTGTGGCACGATGGAGTTACTGCAAGAGTACATTTCTTGTTGACACGTGATGGCGGGGTCTTCGCTTGCCTGAGTAGAATCAGTCCATAGCTAATCAACATAGCTATAGACTAAATGAGCAATCAACATATTTTGCAGGTGCAGTCGCCTGCATAAGTGATATCACCAGTGACAGCTGGTGAACACCGAGACATCTCAAAAATGATGATTACACGACAGAAAGGCGTGGCTTTAAATGGGACAATACGACCGCAGAGCTATCTCCTTATAGTCCAGGGCGGGCTGGAGCGGGCTCAAACTATATGCATAACACGAATGTAATTGCTTACACTGTAAGTTACAGTACCGCTTCAGCAAAGCCGTTAGTTTTAAAGCGTCTGCTTAGTTTAGAATTCACCTGCGGCTCGGCGGCGTTATTGCACGTCAAGAGACGCTGCTTGTTCTACAGAGCCCAGAGGTCACCACTGCGCATGTACTACAGCGAGTACAGCGCGCTGGTGCCGCTCAGTTCAGTGACTCAGCCACAAGTTTAACTCCGCGTTCATGCGGGCGCTGTTTGCACAAACACCGCTGCACGCTGGGGCTCTGCTTTAAAGCGGTACACGCAGCCCAAATACTCGCCACGAACACAGTCGGCGTTCCTGCTGTTCGTGTTCATATAAATATCACAAGGGTCCAACTATAGTCCCATGATGAGGCACGCTTATATGTACAGTACCACTCCGGATTGTGCAAAATAAGACACGGACATACTCCAACGCGTCACCCAAGGGCGCCGAAGATGCTCCTTCGAGACGCCTGGGATACAGGAGTTCGGCTTCTCCGCCAGGAATAGTATTTCTTTGCCACCGTGTTGTTTTTCCAACTTCGATATCACTCGGTTCCTATACACGCTTCATGCTACACTCATATGCAAACGAAACGTTGAATTGGTCATTAGCTATAAGTTAGCACTGGAATCTAAACAAAACAGTTTCTGTCGGTACTAACCGGGAATATACAGTAGACTATAGGCGCAAAACGTCACATGACTAGATTACTTCATGGGGGATATTATCATCATAAACACGTTTAAGCACACACCAGAGTTCGGTGCATAAATAAACCAGCAGTAACAGGTTCCGACACGAATGTATTCAATCTGCTCCCCGAGCTGTCGTGTGTCCAGTCCGCACGACCGTCGCGCGGCCGGTAAGAGAAAAAGTTCCCGAGCGCGCGGCGGCTGCAGTGCCTCGCTCCGGCCGCTGAGGGAGGATCGCAGCCCGGGCTGCGCGAGGGAGAGGCACCCCGCGCGGCGGGACCCGCTGCTCCTCTGCGCGGCACGCGCGCACGCGACGGGGGCGACAGGGGCCGCCGAATGACTTGGGGGGGGGGGGGGGTAGGCGCGTGTCACAGGCGGCTAATGTTATTTTAATCGACGCGACCGATGAACTTTAATTATCGTCGTCGCCCGTTTTGTTTTGTGTTTTTTTTTTAGATATAGAGATGTGCGGATCCGCACAGGCTGAACGTCTAGCTTTTAAATTCTTAACACCTGTATATGTGTGTGTGTATATATATATACACCGTGTGTGTGTGTGTGTGTTGCCGGGTAAGGCGAAGCCGGGAGGAAATGTGTATTTTTTGTCATTGAGAGGTGTTGACAAAGTAGTGATTGATACTGTTGCACGGCCACGGGAACAGCTGCGATTTCCACAGCGCGCTGAGCGAACTACGGCTGCTCACACCTCGCTACAGTCACAGCCGTCTCCCGACACGCGTTACGCAGGGATCTATTGTGTTATCTTTTCCCCTTTTTTTGCAACACCGTGAGCATACGGGAGGAGAGGAGAGGGGGGGGCTCAGACACTGTTTTCATTTTGACTGCTGACTTTAACATCACTTGCCGTGCGCTGCCTACTGTGGGGAGACGCGTCAAACTGCCGGGGAAAAAAAAGCACCGTGATCTCCCGGGCGCGCCAAACCTGCAGCTGGGAAGGTGAATTCGTCTCCAGCTCATTTCTCTTCCATATTCCGTTTCCTGGCTGGAGGAAAGAGGGATGTGAGGACCTGAATATCAGGGCATCATAAAAAAACAACAACTATCCCAACTATTGAAGATCACATCGGGCGGAGAGAGAGGAATAGGATCTGCGCCTGATTTAATTTTCAAAACGTAAGTACAGGTCTGAATCGTACTGGGGTGTTTGGGGACAGAGGGGGATTGTGTTGTATTATGTGCACGTAGGGTTTTCGTCTACCTGTATTTAGAGAAAGACTGAACTGGGCTAGACTGTATTGCAAGCATCCATCACGCAGTGAGACTCCTGTTGCAGGGGCTGTTTTGTTTAAGGTAGTGCAAGCGAAATGATAATATAGTGCCCGAGGGAGGGGAAAAACGGGTATAGATTCACCTGCCTTTAAGGTGCAGGCAGGTTTAGGATTTAGGAACTGTGTGCGTTGGCTCTCTAAGGTCGTGGAGGAACACGACGATCGGATGAATCAAGATTTTCTCGTTTCGCTTTTTTTTGTTGGTGTTTCCTCAGCCGTTGTAATCATCATCATCAAGTCGAAGACGTGCGAGGAGGACGGACGGCTGATTGCATTGCGCTTCACGTCTGCAGAAATAACATAACCTCCCACCCACCCCCCCCCAGAGAAAAAAAAATCAAGACCACCACCACCACCATCAACAACAACACAAAGATCAAGGGTGGGGGGGGGCGGGGGTCAAAAGGCGGCTTTAATTGCGCACATCTGGATATCAGGAGAGTTTGTGTCGAGCGTGACAAGTGGAAAAGCGACAGTCCTCCCGAGATGGGAAGCCGGCGGAATCTGTCGTCTGGGAGCATCTTCGCCATCCTCGGCGGCGGACACACCGCCGGACAGGTGCAAACAGCCACAGCTTAGGGCGGGGGGCGGGCAGATCGTTTTGTGACCCCTCCGTCGCGGGCACTGCAAAAGTGTTTCCACCGTGCGAGGTGAGGATGGCGCGACTGAAGAGATAAGAAAAACAATAATAGTCATTCACCCCTCCTTTCCTAACGCACCGTCTCCCGAGCGGACCCCTGGGGCCCGACCCGACCCGCACCCTTCCCCCCAGTTTCGCGGAAGGAGTTCGGGACTAGGATGTTGCTTGGCCGGCACCCGTGGTCTCCAACAACGGACATGTCAGGCAAGAGGAACTAGGGCCCGAGTCGTGCTGGAGGCGCGGACGAACAGGTGCGAGGGTCTGACAATGTACTGAGCCGCCCCCTCCCTCTACCGCCACTTTCACTTCAGGTCAAAGTTGACGAGGCTCGCCCCCGGCTGCGGGCCCTTGTTTCTGTTGTTGTTCTTGTGTTCTGACCTCGGAGAAAACTGAAACCGGGACACACACACACACACCTCCCCCCTCCCCGGACTCAACCCCCTCAAAAAATAAAAACACCGGCACGCCGCTCGCCCCGCCAACATGGAGGTTGCCATGGTGAGCGCGGAAAGCGGCGGGTGCAACAGCCACCTGCCGTACGGATACGCCCAGGCGCGCGCCCGGGAGCGCGAGCGGGAGCGCGAGAGGGAGAGGCAGGCGCACACGCGCGCCGCCGCGGCCGCCGCCGCCGCCGCCGCCGCTGCTGAAGCCGCCTCGGGAGGAGGAGGAGGAGGAGGAGGAGGGGGACGAGGACGAGGAGGAGGAAGGCGAGGGGGGAGAAGGGGACGGCGGCGGCGGCGGCGGCGGAGGGGGAGAGCCGAGAGAGCGGCGGAAAAGTTTCCTGTGGAGCCTGGGCGACGAGGAGACGGTGTCCCTCCCGGACCGGCGTCCCCAGCAGGGCTACGACCACGTCTACAGCGAGTACGGCTGCTGCGAGCGGGTTGTCATCAACGTGTCGGGGCTGAAGTTCGAGACGCAGCTCAAGACCCTGACCCAGTTCCCCGAGACCCTCCTGGGGGACCCCGAGAAGCGGGTCAGGTACTTCGACCCCCTGAGGAACGAGTACTTCTTCGACAGGAACCGGCCCAGCTTCGACGCCATTCTCTACTACTACCAGTCCGGGGGCCGCCTCAAGCGCCCCGTCAACGTGCCCTTCGACATCTTCTCCGAGGAGATCAAGTTCTACGAGCTCGGCGACGACGCCATGCTCAAGTTCAGGGAGGACGAGGGCTTCGTGAAGGAGGAGGACAAGCCGCTGCCCGAGGACGAGTTCAAGCGCCAGGTCTGGCTGCTCTTCGAGTACCCCGAGAGTTCAAGCCCCGCCAGGGGCATCGCCATCGTCTCGGTGCTGGTCATCCTCATCTCCATCGTGATATTCTGCCTGGAAACTCTGCCGGAGTTCCGGGATGACAAGGAATTACACGCGGCGAGCGGCAGGAGCAGCAGCCTCGACGGCAACCACACGCAGCCGGACAGCGGATATACAACTTTCAACGACCCGTTTTTCATCGTGGAGACGGTGTGCATCATCTGGTTCTCCTTCGAGCTGATCGTCCGCTTCTTCGCCTGCCCCAGCAAGGCCGGCTTCTTCAAAAACATCATGAACTCCATCGACATCGTGTCCATCCTGCCTTATTTCATCACCCTGGGCACGGACCTCGCCCAGCAGCAGGGCAACGGGCAGCAGGCCATGTCCTTCGCCATCCTGCGGATCATCCGCCTCGTCCGCGTTTTCCGCATCTTCAAGCTCTCCCGGCACTCGAAGGGTCTGCAGATTCTGGGGCACACCCTGCGGGCCAGCATGAGGGAGCTGGGGCTGCTCATCTTCTTCCTCTTCATCGGCGTCATCCTCTTCTCCAGCGCCGTCTACTTCGCCGAGGCCGACGAGCCCACGTCGCAGTTCCAGAGCATCCCGGACGCGTTCTGGTGGGCCGTGGTCACGATGACCACGGTGGGCTACGGGGACATGAAGCCCATCACGGTGGGCGGCAAGATCGTGGGCTCGCTGTGCGCCATCGCGGGCGTGTTGACCATCGCGCTGCCCGTCCCCGTGATCGTGTCCAACTTCAACTATTTCTACCACCGGGAGACCGACAACGAGGACCAGGCGCCGGCCGCGCAGAGCGCCGCCTGCCCCTACCTGCCCACCAACTTCCTGAAGAGGTTCAGGGGCTCCGCCTCGGTCTCCTCCCTGGGGGACAAGTCCGAGTACGTGGAGATGGAGGAAGGGGTCACCGAGTCGCTGTGCGTCGCGGAGAAGCAGGGCCGGAGCAAAGGGAACGGGACGGAGCTGGCGAGGAGGAGTTACGCGAACCCCAGATCGGTTCAGACGGACGTGTGAGGGCGGCTTTCTCGCCACGCTTAGAATAATCACTATCATGGGGGAAAAAAAAAACACACACACACAACTGAGCATTGGACATGCGCCCAGGTGCGAGTCAGAAAAGGGTAAATAATCTGCATCCATGCATTATATACTGTATAGTTCCATCACTTATTATGAAACTGGTGAGCCTGGTGCAGGGATTGATGGATACAGGGAAATGAAGAGTTTCAAACACTTTATTTTTCCCGCCGTCTCGGATCCCCGTGGTCCTAATTCTGTAAGGACATGCGGTCTGTCCACGTTTCCTTCCAGCAGTTCAGTCCTTCGCGCTTGTCCGCTCCGTGCGTCGAGACGTTCGTGTCAGCTCTAGGTGTTCCGCTCCGGGACGTCATCGCTGGGCTTAAAATCGCCACCAGTGAACTTCCACATTTCTGAATCGTCAGTACAAGTACGGTGAGAAAGTTAGTCTGCTTTCCCTACGGAGGAAGGCATGCTTCTAATAATAATAATAATAATAATAATAATAATAATAATAATAATAATAAATCTGAAGTAAATTCTCACACAGAATGACGGTTACGTACACATGTTCTGAAATGTTATAAGGCACTTTAAAAGTTTTCGATGTCGCTTTAGAAACACTTGAACGATATAAAGACGTTTTTGCTGTTACACAATGAACTCTGCTTTGTTTGCACTATTAACCAAGCTGGATAAGACAATACACAATACGTGCTCGTGTGTGTGTGTGTACCAGGTATGTGCACGCACAGCCTTTTACTGTGACGGGGCTGAGGAAGTCGGGAGCGTCTTGCAGGACAATCGCGGAATATTCTGTGCTCGGCACGGGGGGTGGGTGGACGCTACAGGTGTGTGTGTGTGTGTGCGCGCTTTTGGTTTTGCTCAACATCTGCTCCAGCGTATCGTTTCATAGATGATCCCCCACCTCCGCCCCTTACCCTCGGCAGGACACGGGCCGTGACGTGGAAGCTGTAGGTTGACTTTAGAAGTTGTCTCCGGCTGGTGTGCCGGTGCCGTGGGGAACAGACCGAGCGCGGCAGCTAACTTGGCTGAGCCCTGTGCCACAGAGGTACAGCGAGGCTCCACGTCAGTCTGCTGTGTCCAAACAGACAAATATATCATTATTAACCCACCCCACAAATAAAAAACAAGCTTACACGCATTTTTTTCTGACAGGCTTTTTTTTTTTTTTGAAATTGGGCGATAGATAGGCGGGTCAGTGGACGGGGTGGGAAGCGCACCGCGGCTCGGAGTGCGACTCCTGTGGAGCCGTCCTGAGAGCTTTCTAACTGAGCGCACTGATGCATCACCCGGTAGAGACGAAGCGACAACACCGTTTAAAACAAACAACACAATGACACCCCCCCACCACAAACCTCTTCCTCTCGTTTCTGATCTCGCCGCATTGAGAAAAATACAAAGCGACCTTGAGCGACGCACAGGCCGAGCGAGCCAGCAGGAGCCGTTCACCTCCACGGGCTCATCCTACTCCAGGCCATACCCTTTAACACCGGAGAACGACCAAGATCCCTTTAAGACTGCTTCAAGAAACAACACCACCAACAAACGCTTTAAGTTTTGGGTACACGGACGTCTTCTTTATGGTTTTTTTATTTTCTTCGATCAACGTTAAGGACTTTCCGCGCGTCTCTAGTCGAAAAGGAAATCCAGAGAACTACTCGTCTTCCCAGGAGAGCGCCCGTGTGACGGCGACACAGGGGGTTTGCACAAAGGTACGTGTCTGCGTGTCATTTCGATTCCTCCACCAGCTCCCCGGCGGAGGCCAGGTCCCGGGGCGCTTGGGGGGGTCACCGGGGCCCCCGGATCTCGCTGTGGCGGGAGGAGCGAAGGCAGGCGGGGAGACGCACAGTCACAAGTGAAGTGAAGTGTCAGGAAGCAGAGCGACAGCGATCGTTTTAAAAGGCGCAAATGAAGGTTTGCGCTCTCGGTGAGACGTCTCCCTCTCCCGCTTCCAGCTTGACGCAAAGCCGGGTGTGTTCACGGGGCTGTGTGGCTTCGAAGGAAGCAGCATAAGGCTGGGTTTTGTTTAATTACACTTTTTTGTTTTTGGACGAAGTTCTGTTTCTAAACGAGTTTTGTTTACCGCTCGGCGTTGTACATCCTTCTGAAGTACAGCGGCCCTGAGGCGCGGCGCCTCTATTTGCTTTCTAATTTCCTCCGAATTGTTTTTATCTGCAAATGGAAAATGGATGGAAAATGAGTAATCCTCCGAATTTTGTTTGGGTTTAAAGGCAAAACGGGAATCAAAACCTAACACGTCTAGACTGTTTGGTCTGGAAGTCAAACTAATCAGCGAAAGGCACGGCCCCTGACTAGTGTTAAGAGCTGCACCTCTGTGTGGAAATACGCTTCATCCCAGTTCATCACAACTTGCCTGAACACACGTTGTCTCTGCTGACAGCCGAAGTCATGCTCCGGCTTTCCCAGCTCTTATCGATCCCAAGCCGGTTCCAAAGCCGGTTTCAGAAAGAGACTTTAAAAAGTCTCTTAAAAAGGTGAAGCATCTTGTGAGCACAGGACCTGGTTACAAACGAGCAGGGGCCTTTCGGCAGTTTGTACTCTGATTCCTTTGAGGGTTTTTAATACTTGTATGAGGCCCTCTTGTAGTCTGCTCTGTTCAAGACTAAAGAGTGCCTCTTTAGAGTGCCTCTTCTGTGCCTCAGCCTGTCAGTGTGGGGCACTCCCTTTAGACTAAAGAGACTCAGTTCCTTCAGCATGTCAGTGTGGGGCACTCCCTTTAAACTAAAGAGACTCAGTTCCTAAAGGCTGTCAGTGTGGGACACTCCCTTCAGACTGAAGAGACTCAGTTCCTTCAGCCTGTCAGTGTAAGGCACTCTCTTCAGACTGAAGAGACTCACTTCCTCCAGTCTTACAGTATGGGACACTCCCTTCAGACTGAAGAGACTCAGTTCCTTTAGCCTGTGAGTGTGGGACACTCCCTTGGTACTAAAGACACTCAGTTCCTCCAGCCTGTGAGTGTGGGACATTCCCTTAAGACCTGGTTTCTGCCCAGTCGGGATTTTCTAAATCTTTTAGAATTTCCTGTTCTGCTTCCTCAATGTATGCTAATCTTCCTAATTTGGTATAATCTGCACGTTTGACAAATTTAATATTACAGATCATTGATATATATTAAGAAGACCTGTGATCCTAATACGGATCTCTGTGGTACAGCACAAATTCCATCACTCCAAGATGTTATTTACCCCTTATATGTGCCCTCTGTTTTCTATTTAATAACCAATTCTCTATACAAAGAGTCACGTTTTCCTCAATACCTACCGTCTGCAATTTGAGAATTAAAAAAGTATTTATCATCAAATATGGATTACAAATATACGCCGTGCTTTGCGTGTTTTTAAAGTATGCTTTAGAACAGGAAAGTGGTGTTTTGTATTTGAAACTATACATATATATATACTGTATATGCGTGTGTGTAAGGGAATACATTGGTAATGCCAACAGAAATTTGCCAAGTTATGTTTTGTGGGAATTTGAATTGTGGGAGCAGATTGAGAATTCAAGATTTGGGTGGTCGTACAGTATGACAAATCACGCCGATCTACACGTTTTGAGAGCTGTCTTGTGTTGGTCTGTGCCTAGTCATTGACTTTTCACTCTAGTCTTGGAAAAACTGCGTGCAGTGCTGGGCATCTCAGGTGTTACTAGCAAACAACAACAACAAACACAAGGCAAAAGAAACTGTGAGTCATGGCCACCCCTATCTACTTTCTAATACAATGATGCCATTTAGTAGAATGAAGTATTTATCAAACAACCAGCCTTGGCAACTTAAATTACTGTAACTAAATATTTCGGTGAATTATTTCTGAGCTGCAATTGAGATTGAGTGAAATTTCATCTGAGTTTTCACCCATGGCTACACACACCCGGTCTCCATGTAAGTGTGGTCTCTCACGTGTTCAAAATCAAGTTAATCTATAAAGGTACAGTACATGCGAAGGATAGGCTTCAGTATGGCTCTGTTAAGGGGGGTACTACTGCACGCCTGCATTAATGGACATATTCTATCATGCCTTTCTCAAGGGATGTAGTTTAGCACGCCTCTTTTAAGTGTCATACGCCAGTCACGGGGCTGATGGGGTTAGTCAGGTATAGAGAACTGCAATGATGCATGTTCCACCTCTGTTACAGGAGCATGCCCCAAGCAGGGCTGCCCTCCCAGTCCTCATGGCCTTGCAGGTGCCCACTGGGCTCTTGGCTGGTTTGTTTAACGGCGTCACTCTTGCACGGCACTATGGTGGACGTACTGACCTGCGGGGTCCGGAGGCCAGCGTGTGAGGGGGGCCGCGCCTCTGCAGGCGTTTTGGAATGGTGTCGGCTGGCCATGCAGGGCCCGGCTGGGGAAGCCCGTGCCCTGTGACTCCTGTGTGGAGAAGGCTTCCTGCAGCTATCATGTGACTGAGGTGCACGTGTGCAGCACGGGGGGGGGTTGATGAAGATGAGGATGGCAGGTGGAACGAGTCGAAGGTGTACCTTTTAGCGTGAGCTCCAAAGAAGGATGCAGGGAGCTGCCGGTGCTGTACAGGCGTGGGTCATGAACGTGAATGAAGATGGGTTTGACTTTATTCTCTTATGGAAACCTTGCAGACATAGTCTAGATGAGTGGTTGTTCTCTCTGGTCCCAAGGGGATGCGGTGTCGGCTGGTTAGCATTACAGCCCGGCCCTTAATCACTGGTGCTAATTGATGTCTGTAATTAATCTGCTTGTTTGTTCAGGCTTTTTTTTTTTTGCTGCTCTCAGACCTCGGTTTCAAAAACCCCCTCATTAAACTTCAGCACACAGGTCTTTATGTTGAACTTTGTGTGTCTCCTCAATGTACTCATTTCTGACTTAGCAGCTAGTAGCAGGTGACCTGTTTATGATAAACAGACCTGGGTGAGAATAACAAAGCATCACACTCCCGCACTGCGTATTTGTATTTTCCTTCAGCTGATTGTGTTACATTTCAGCTCACACACCTGGACTGGAGAGTTCTAGGACTCCAATTACAAACCCCACAGTACATGAAGCTGTGTTAGACTGTTTCTTCTGGAGTCTTTTTTTCTGACTTACAGTGGATGCCTGTCCAGGTTACGCATGTTTTAAAAGCCAGTCGTTGCTCGTGGGTTTGAGTATTCATTTGCTCTCCCACCCTTTCACAGCAAAGAACCGCAGGGGGGATTTCAGGTGTGTAGAAAGTCCAAGCAGTGTGGATGGTCCTGCTTTTCCCCACGTTGAAGCAGTGCCGATTAGATCATATTTCCATTCCCCTTCTATCTGTCGTTCTGTCTGATCGTGCTGAGACCTGGATCTTGTCACTGAAAAAAATGTTCAAAAAGATTCAGAGCTGTCTGGGAATTCTGTGCTATCTCTACTGCTGGACCCTGAAACCCACAGAATGACTGGACCCTTCAAATTGGTTCTGCAGGTGTGCTCTAGCTGTGTGCCTTGTCAGGTTAGATGCCTCCTGTTGTTGGACCTGAAAGTGGTTTTGTCCAGTGTTTGTGCCGCACAGTTTAATTGATTGACCTAACTTGTCTAATAGGCAAATGTCATGCTGCCACCAGGAGACAGACGTTTAGACGGAGTCAGATTAAGTCTTTACTATGCTAGCAATTTAGTTTTTTTGGAAACGGCTCATTCCGTTTTTTTCTGCTTGACGCGGAACACCCACGGAGCATCGAAGAAAGCGTATTTCAGTTGTTTTATCAGTCATATAATAAAAACACAGAAGAAAATCTCAGAGCAGCGTTACGGGCTGAAAAGATAACAGTTTGAGGAGAAAATAAACAGCAATTACAAGCTCAGAGCATCTTGTGAAATGTGCTTAGAGATGCCCACTGTTAACAGACGTTTACAGGAGGTCACGTGGTTGTGTTTCAGGGAGACAATGCTTTGTAGAATCTGCTCTATAATTATGGATATAGCCTTAACCTTTCTGTTGGTGCTTATTACATGGCATTGTGTATTTTTATGTTATTGTTTTGCGTTCTGTCCCAGGGACACCTTAACGAGAGACCACCAGCAGGTGACACAGAATTAGAAAGATCCTGAGCTTTGTGAGTTAACAAAGGGATCAAGACTGGTTTACCCGTTGGCCCCCTGGAGGAGAGATCTCTTGTGTCTGCCTGTTCTGCAAATCAGAGTCCCGTCTCTAGCTCTTGAGAGCCATCATGCAGCAGGTTCCGTA